GTACGGCTCTTTTCGTCTAAGCAGAGGGTCAATTTAGCTTAAGATGGTCTCAAAATTGTCTTCATGCAGCTCCTTTCATGGCTAATTCTACCTATGTTTGAAGTGCAGATTCTGTCGCAGTGCTTGCATGTCAGTGACGTAGATCGATGCTCTGCATTTCCACTGTTTTTTTTTCGTCATTGGCGCTTCTCAGCCTGGTTGTTTCTAAGGCTGCTCTCTACTAACTCTCTAGCATTATAGTTCTTTCCTTTATAATTTTTCTCCATGTTTTCCTGTCCTCAGCTATTTCTTCCCAGATGCTAACGTCTACTCCTGCAACGATCAACATTTATGTAAACGCGTCCTTTCGTTGTCTAATATGTCTAGTGGACCGCAACGTCCTATTAAAAAACAACTCCAAGCTTAGATAAGCTGTTTTTGAAGGTGTCTTTGTACCTCAATTTTGGTCTTCCTCTTGGTGTCTTTCCTTTGGCAAGTTCTCTTGAGAAGTTGCTTCGAAATTCAGTTGTTGTCCATTCTCTTGACATGGCCCAGCCATCTCTGTCTTTTTAAACACAGGAGAGTTGTCATGCTCTGGAGGTTTGCCCGTGCCAACACTTCTACATTTGTAACCTTGTCACCCCACGAAATGTCTAGGATCTTGGGGCAGCATCTGAGATGGAAAATGCCGAGGCGCTTTTCTTGCCTGCTGTACAAGGTCCAAGTTTCAGATCCATAAAGGAATGTGCTGAGGACATGCTTCGTAAATCTTGATCTTTGTTTTCATGGTCAATCTTTTGTTTTCCCATGCTTGTTTTGTCAGCCTTCCAAGAGTTGTTGCTGCTTTCCCTATCCAGATGTTGACCTCATAATCAAGTGATGTAATAGAGCTGATGGTAGACCCCAGGTAACAGAACCTGTCCACTGTCTCAAGTTCCTTGTCGTTCAGCCATAAATGGCTCTGATCTGCACCTTCTTGGGTAAGGATGACTGTTTTCTTAACATTGATGACCAAGCTAAAGACCATGCATGCTGTCCATAATTGTTTGTAGGGTTGATTCACTGAGAGCAACAAGAGCAGCAGCATCGGCGAAGAGAAGGTCTCGTACTGTTATTTTGTTGATCTTGGTCTTGGCCTTGAGTCGAGCAAGATTGAAGAACGACCCATCGGTTCTCCAGCGGAGGAAACCATCCCCTGGTGACTCTTTGAGTGCGTGTTGCAGTAAGTAAGAAAGTAAAATAAGTGCTAAAAAGGGTTGGTGCTAAGACACAACCTTGCTTTACTCCTCTATTGATGTTGAAGCTGGTTGATGTTGAACAGTCAAACTGGATATCTTCATAATACGTATTATATTTTTGGGGGTGGGTTGTGTGTGTGTGTGTGTGTGTGTGTGTGTGTGTGTGTGTGT